ACGGCGCGCGGCCCGACCGCCCCCATTCCTTCCTGGAATCAGCTGGGGATCCCAGTCTAGAAATCCCCCTGACAGCCCCGCAGCCTAAATGCTTCTCACGCCTCAGAACCACCCCACCCCCACCCGACACGCCTTCGCCTGTCCTGGTGCCCTCGGAACCCCTCGTCCTGCGGATTTCCCGCACGCCCACCTTCTCCCCGAGATGCCCCCAATGCGTCCGCCGCCCTGGAATTCCTCGGACCCATCACACCCCTCCCCGTTCTCCTTGCACCATGTTCACATCCATAAAACTGCCCAGGTTCCCCCAGCCCTCAGATGTATTCTGAGTCCTCATAGCCCCCTCTTAACTCCGTGCCGCATGCAACCCTATCCCAGACCAGAGCTCCCTTCTCCTGTCCCATCCACTGTAATGCCCCTCATCGGGCTGTCATGAGATGTATCTTACAGAGAAGGGGACAGAAGAGGTGCAGCAGCCGCCCCCATCTTGCACCCTATAGTTATTTCTTGGTTTCACCCCAGGCTCCTTGGGATGGCTCAGGCCCCAGTATCTTCCCCAGCCGCCGCCTGTCTCTAGAGACTGTGCACACTTCCCTCAGCCTGCTACCACCTTCCAAAGAAAAAAGCCAGACCAAGAGGGTGGGGGTCTTTCCACCTGGGAAGTTTTCCAAGCATACCCAGTACAAGAGGCCCTGGGAAATGATTGTGTTTTTCCAGAAAGGAAGGTGGGATTTCACGAGTCTCTGGGGTCCTGCCCTCTCAGCTTGTCTACTTGGGGCTCAGATCCCTGGAATTTTGGGTTGTTGTTAGCATGTGTATTAACGCTTTAGGCCTTTCAGAGCTTGGAGAACAGAAAAAAAATCTATCAAGCTTTCAAATGTGAGATGGTCGTGAAAGAGGAAAATTGTAGTGATGTTTGTCCTACATACTTCCTAGAGGTTATTTACGCCGCAAGCGCCACAGTGTACAAATATTTCCCTTTAAAACTGACGCCTGGGGGTGGGAGTTGGGGGTGGAGGTGCTGGGACTGACTTGGCCGTCTCCTAGTAGCAGCAAAATAGTCTAGAATATTCGTTTCCTGAATCTTAAGCCAGTGCTCTTTCCAGTACGTCATAGTGTCTTTTTGAGAAAGCTCTTTGTGAAGTTCTCTGCAAAGGTAAGGTGGTGGTTCTGGTGTTGGTCGTAACAGCATTCAGCCGGAGTCTGGCGGCCAACAAGGTCACGGGCTGCCTCAGACTTCAAACCCATTGATACTAGGAGCGTACCCTTCCCAGAGCGTATGGCGCTCAGATCTTGTGGTCCCTTTGCCCTGGATCTGGCTTTATCCGTTGGTGTTTTGGTCCCATTAGGGCCGGGAACAGATATGCGGGTGGGGTGGACCGACAGCAAGTCAGTGTCTTTAACAGTTGGTGAGGATGGATGTTTCCGCTAACCTGTGGTCTCTTTTATGCTAGGTGAGCCCCGGGTGTGTCCCAGAGGGATCCAGGGGACTTCTCTGCAGACTGCTTGCCATGACGCCCCACCAAGAACAGGGGGACTAAAGTGGGGGTCCTTCCCCATGCCCCTCCCAGAGTCAGTTTCCCGATGGCCTAGGTGAGGTGAGAGCTATGTATGGGAGCCACTTTATCCTAGAGTTTCCCAAATTGAGAGGGATGGAGGGTGCAGGTCAGGCTTGTTCAAAGCTTTATACATTCAGTGGGATATCTGATATTACAGATTCACTTCTTGTATCAAGTTGCAACCCCTTAATTTCCGGTTAGAATCAGTCCATGTGTTTGCTTGCTCCCTTAGGTCACTCAAACCTGGTGGTAGGTATCCCCTCCATCTTAGGCACAGTCCTACTATTGTGACATACAATCCCAGTGCCTTATCTTGGAGGGAAAAGCCAAGATTATGTTTCCCCTTTGACCAAAAGCAAATCCAACATGTATTTTTTTTAATCAAGTTTTATGAAAAGTGTGTTGTTTTAAATGTTCAATCCTCTGAGTGTATCTTTTGACCGTAATGTAGCACCTCAAGTGAAAAGAACATCAAAAAGAAAAAGATAAAGTTGAGGTGGATGTTGGGTGGTGGTAAGGGAGGAAAGGAGAATTGGGATGATGTGGGAAGAATGAGGTGGAAAAGGAGAAAAGTATAGGCCAAAGTGTCTGGGACTCCCAAATTAATTTCTTTGCAGAATTTAGATGAGGCTCAAGGCCAGAACCCAGCTCCTGATGCAAATCACTTCTGGGTTTCTACTTGTTTCATGTTTCTCTTGCTGCCCAGGCCTCCCTTCACTGTCATTGCATCGGCCCAGATCCTATATTCTTCTCAAGGTCTAGATCAAATACTGTGTCTGAGAAGCACTTTCTATCCCCCATTGGCATTAATCTTTAACACACCCTAACTCCAGTTCACGTTTGTCCAGTGTGTGTCTGGTCCTGGGTGGAGGGTGGGACTTCCTTGAGGGAGGGACCGTGTCATACAGCCCCTCGGGCAGGGTGAATGGTCACAGTGAGATGGCTCTGCGAGTTCCCGAGCGCAGGGCTTGTGGGAGCTGACCTTGACTTTCTTATCCCTTATGCTTCCCTTAGGGTGGGCCAGCTGCTCTGACACCATGGGGAGCTGCTGCAGCTGCCTGAATAGAGACAGCATCCCCGACAACCACCCCACCAAGTTCAAGGTACCCACAGCCCCTCCTCTCCTGAGTGCCCAGCAGGGCCTACTGGTCTCTGGCCCCAAGCAGTGGCGTTGTCTCGGCCTCCCCCGAGAAGGGGGAATGACAGGCTGAGGCCGTGAGCTCGTTAAGACTTCCTGAGATCAGGCCTCTGAGGTGGCCCGAGGAAAAGGAGCCCAGGCCACTGTGGTGTGTCTGGCTCTTGGTGCCACCAAGAGTGAAGAAATGCCGTAAACAGTAGCAAAGGTGGTGCTTTTAGCTCATTCGGTCCTGTCAGTATATCTTCGTAATGTTACACGTAACTCTTTTGGACAGAACAACAAAAGTCTGCAGTGGTGAGTTAATATGTGTAAAGTATTAAGACAGTGCTTGGCACATGGCAGTCGCTACGTTAGTGTTGCTGAGAAGGCCAGGCCCAATGGACCTGCGCACCCCTGGTCCCCCCACCTTTCAGGTGGTGGAGCTCCTCCTGTGGAGGCATGGTTTCTCCTGCTCACCACAAGAGGGCGCCCTCAGCAAGGTCCTAGCGTTGGGGAGGCGGTGGAGGCAGCCTGTATTTGTTCTGCCTTGGGCTTCACTCTCCCGGGATCTGGAGATTTTGAACTTACAATCGAACACCTTCTTCCATTAACATCTGGTCCTTGGATACTAAGCCATGGACCACCTGAGGTCATCTAACCTTGGTCGTCCAACCGTCCGACTATGGAGGTTAACGAACCACCCCTCCACTCACTGTACAAATGGCAAACCGAGGCCTAGAGAACTGTTGTGGGTCAGTGGCACTGAGTAATTATGTGGCTGGCATTCCGGAGAGGCTGGTGAGTCAGGTGAGCCCCTCAGTCCCCAGCTGTGGCCCTGCACCCTCAGCCTGCCCGTCTCCCAATGGCTCAGGGACCCATACCCACCCTTGTTGGACTCACTCATTGACCCTCTGTCTCCTGCTCCCCAGGTGACGAATGTGGATGATGAGGGGGTGGAGCTGGGCTCCGGGGTGATGGAGCTGACGCAGAGCGAGCTGGTGCTGCACCTGCATCAGCGGGAGGCTGTCCGCTGGCCGTACCTTTGCCTGCGGCGCTATGGCTATGATTCCAACCTCTTCTCCTTTGAGAGTGGCCGTCGGTGTCAGACGGGCCAGGGTGAGTACCCTCCCCTGCCCCATGCTCCCTAGGGCTGTGCACCTGGGCCAGGTGCTAGGCTGGAAGTCACAGCTCAGACTTGGCAGGCGCTGCCCAGCGAGGGGAAGGCTCATGGCCGGGAGCACCGGCATGTTACTACAGAACTAAGTGGACTCCCAGGCCAGTGCTCCTTCACTTAGCTCTGGCGGGGACCCCTTTGTCGGGGGGAGCTGGTGCTCCGAGACCAGAGCCTGCTGGGGAAGCAGCTGATGGCTCCTTCCGCTGTGACTCCAGTTTCAGGGTCCCTAAGTAGAAGAAACTTCCTTCTGAGCCCCCAGGTCATGTACCCTGGGTCCCGTGAATAATGAAAAGCCAGGCAGGAAGCTCTGCTGTCCTCAGGCTCTGTGGCTGGTAACGATTGGTTTGGGCAGGTCGGTCTCTTGGGTCCCGGTGTCCAAAGCAACCCTCACGCGGTTATCCCTCGTCACCTGTGAGCAATGGAGTGAGATGTATTCTTCCTTCTTCCCCTTCCTCCCTGTAGCCAGAGGTCAGGGTGTGGTGGGTTGT